CTCTTCCCTGTACGTTTTCTCTATGCTGTCTACCAGGTGTAAAGGAGAGAGCTTATAACAATGATTGACAGAAAAGCATAGAGTTACATGACAAAGGAGGGTGGATTTCTACATTTAAAGGGACATTATAGTCTCCTAAACAACTTTAGATTAAAGGGAAACTATAGTGCTGGAAAACAAACTTGTTTTCCTGGCGCTATAGCTTTCCCCTTTGTCAAGGACCAGCCCCCCTCCCCTTTCCAGGGCCGGACTGGCCCACCGGGATACCGGGAAATTTCCCGTTGGGCAGCGGCATCTGGGGGCTGCGCTGAGCATGTTTGTGCCACCGGGTGGCCGGTCCGGTGGCACACACTCTGAGGGGGCCGGTGAGCTGGCGGCCGCATTCCACGCTGGAGCCACCGGGCCGGGTGGCAGCCTCGCCGGTCCAGCGGCACTCCTGTCAGGTGATGCTGAGGAGTGAAGAAGGAGGAGGGAGGAGCATGTCTCTGTACCATGCTCCCTCGCGGTTCCTGTGCTGGGGATTGTGGGAACCGCGAGGGAGCATGGTACAGAGACATGCTCCTCCCTCCTCCTTCTTCACTCCTCACCCATTAGTGACAGGAGTGTCGCCGGACCGGTGAGGCTTCTACCTGGCCCGGCGGCTCAAGCGTGAAATGCGGCCGGCCCCCCTGACTCCTCTCAGGTAAATGGGAGGGGGAAGACAGGGAATATAGAGACACAAGGGGAGGGGGGAAATCAAACAGAGGGGGAATAGACACAGGGAAAAAGGGAGAAAGAGACAGAGGGGGAAAGGAGAGAGACACACAAGGGGAGGGGGAGAAAGAGACAGAGGGGGAAAGGAGAGAGACACACAAGGGGAGGGGGAGAAAGAGGGGAAAGGAGAGAGACACACAAGGGGAGGGGGAGAAAGAGGGGAAAGGAGAGAGACACACAAGGGGAGGGGGAGAAAGAGACACACAAGGGGAGGGGAAGAAAGACAGAGGGGGAAAGGAGAGAGACACACAAGGGGAGGGGGAGAAAGAGGAAGAGGGGGAAAGGAGAGAGACTCACAAGGGGAGTGGGAGAAAGAGACAGAGGGGGAAAGGAGAGAGACACACAAGGGGAGGGGGAGAAAGAGGCAGAGGGGGAAGGAGAGAGACACACAAGGGGAGGGGGAGAAAGAGGGAGAGGTGGAAAGAAGAGAGACACACAAGGGGAGAGGAGAAAGAGGCAGAGGGGTAAAGGAGGGAGACACACAAGGGGAGGGGGAAGAAAGAGACAGAGGGGAAAGGAAAGAGACACACAAGAGGAGGGGGAGAGAGAGGCAGAGGGGAAAGGAGAGAGACACACAAGGAGGGGGGGAAAGAGAGGCAGAGGGGAAAGGAGAGAGACACACAAGGGAGGGGGGAGATAGAGGCAGAGGGGAAGGGAGAGACACACAAGGGGAGGGGGAGAAAGAGGCAGAGGGGTAAAGGAGAGAGACACACAAGGGGAGGGAGAGAAAAAGGCAGAGGGGGAAGAGAGAGACTGGAAAGGAGAGGGGAGACATGGACACAGAGGAGCAGTGAGGGGGAAAAAGAAACATACAGAGTGACTGGGGGGAGACAAAAAAGCACACAGAGGGTCTATATATATCACTGGTGGATCTGGGGGGGGAGGCAACAGGGCAATTTCCCCCCCACGAGGTTCTCCCCTGCCAGCCAATCTCCCTCCCCATTCCACAGGCACCGTGCGGCACACACTGCCCCCTATACACACACTGCCCCCCCACACACCATACCTATTCATACACTGCCCCCATACACACATTGCCCCCCACACACATACACAGCCCCCCATACACACATTGCCCCACACACCGTACACATTCACACACTACACCCCCCCACACACACATACACTGAACCTTTCACACACACTACACCCCTCACACATTGCACCACTGCTCCTATACCCTACTACAGCCCCATATCCCAGCAGACCCCTGGTAAGTTGTCAAACTGTTCTTAAACGGTTTGACTACTTACTCTGGGAGGGGGTCCCGGCACTCCTTGCACCATAACAACTACACAGAGCAGTAGTGGTTATTGTGCATGGATTATTTCTTTAAATAATCTACAAGTGCCCCTGCTGGGATCAGGCTCTGGATCCACCACTGGTATATGACATGTATATTAATGTGTATTAGTTTTATTTATATTTATATATATATACCTATTATATTTACACATATATTAATGTACATTTATATATGCATAATACACAGATAAATTTCATTAATATGTACTATATGTAATGAGCAGATATTGGCCCAGTCTTGTTGCTAGGTGCAGACTCCATCACAATAACATATTTAAAATGAAGAGCGCACCCACAGGACTTCAAAATAAACAAGATAACGTCATTTTTTTACAGTTGTGCCCTACATACATTCACCATTTCAGTCCCATTACCAAGCTTTCCTTAAAGGACCACAATAGTGCCAGGAAAACATACTTGTTTTCCTGGCACTATAGTGCCCTGAGGGTGCCCCCACCCTCAGGGACCCCCTCCCGCCCGGCACTGGAAGGGGGAAAGGGGTAAAAACTTACCTTTTTCCAGAACTGGGCGGAGAGCTCTCCTCCTCCTCTCCGCCTCCGATCCGCCCCGCCGGCTGAATGCGCACGCGCGGCAAGAGCTGCGCGCGCATTCAGCCGGTCTCATAGGAAAGCATTTACAATGCTTTCCTATGGACGCTGGCGTGCTCTCACTGTGATTTTCACAGTGAGAAGCACGCAAGCGCCTCTAGTGGCTGTCAATGAGACAGCCACTAGAGGATTAGGGGAAAGGCTTAACCCATTCATAATTATAGCAGTTTCTCTGAAACTGCTATAATTATGAAAAAATGGGTTAACCCTAGAAGGACCTGGCACCCAGACCACTTCATTAAGCTGAAGTGGTCTGGGTGCCTAGAGTGGTCCTTTAATTTGTTAAGGTAGTTGGACTGAAACATTGATTACATGCAAAGGCACGTCTGCTTAAAATAAATCTGCACTTTTGTTTATTTTGAAGCCTATGGGTGCTTTTTTTTTACATTGGAGTAATAATTTTTAATTTTAAGTTCTCTTTTCTAACTCTGTATCTGCACACTATGCTGGTGTGACGCATTATGGGGCTGGTAAATATTTTTTTTCCAGGGCTGCTTTTAATTCCCAGTCCGGTCCTGCACCTTTCCCCCCTTCAGTGGAGCAGAAAGGGTTAATAGCCCCTTCTGTCACTTACCTGGGTCCAGTGCCAATGTCCCTCAGCACTGGCTTAGCTCCGTCCACGCTCCTCCCCAACGGCAGGGGAAAACTAATGCACAATGGCCTTGCTCGGATTAGGATTTCCCCATAGGAAAGCATTATTCAATGCTATTTTTATAGGGAAAAATGCAGAGCATGAGGAGGTCTAGCGTCAGATAACAGACCAAAGGTCAGTTTCAATCCAGGAAGTCCCACTAGTGGCTGTCTGGTTTATAAAAACTGCAATACTTACATACTCAGGTTTAAGGGTAATGGTAATTTGCACCCAGACCACTTCAATCAGCTGAAGTAGTCTGGGTGCCTGCAGTGTAGTGTATCGATCATACTCCTGCAGTCTCAGTGCTCAGTCATCTGCCATTTAGGAGCTAAATCACATGACATGTGCACAGTCGTTATTCGGCATGTGCTAAAACCTTAATAAAATAACTCTGTGACACCATTTCTGTTGGAGTATAAAGTCCACAGCTTTATTAAAAATTTTAATTCAACAATTTAACAATTTAGGGTCATTGTCACAAGTATTAATTATGTCCGACCTTCTTGCCCAATACCCCCGACAATGGCCCTACCAAATAACATAATAAAACATTCCAATAATACATAACGTTTAACCCATGGCCTACCAAAGAGGCCCCATAACCATATGTTTAACTGTAGGGGTGTACCCAGACACCCCTACACTCCCAGATTCGTAGCCACCAACGAGCTAGAACCTACAAACCATTTTCCACTCCGGCATAGTCCAGCCTAGACCTTGGCCTGCCCACTTCCTATTCCACCTAAATCCTCTTTAACCCAGGCCCTATTCCCGCCGCTGTGACCAAACGGGAAACTACCTACCAAACAAGACAACCGAACACAAAGGTAGGGTGGGAGGGACAAGTATCAAGTAAGTGTGATTTTGATTAAAAAGGCCAGCTCACCAAATTGGCTGTTATTTAAACCCTTATTCTCCTCCCCCCCCTGTCCAGACATTACTTTTCCACACCCCTTGACCTTAACTTCACCTGCCAACTCTCTGGCCCTTTTGTAAAGGCCCACTCCCCTCCTGTGTTGCTCCATGGGCTTCATGACATGTGCACAGTCGTTATTCGGCATGTGCTAAAACCTTAATAAAATAACTCTGTGACACCATTTCTGTTGGAGTATAAAGTCCACAGCTTTATTAAAAATTTTAATTCAACAATTTAACAATTTAGGGTCATTGTCACAAGTATTAATTATGTCCGACCTTCTTGCCCAATACCCCCGACAATGACCCTACCAAATAACATAATAAAACATTCCAATAATACATAACGTTTAACCCATGGCCTACCAAAGAGGCCCCATAACCATATGTTTAACTGTAGGGGTGTACCCAGACACCCCTACACCCCCAGATCCGTAGCCACCAATGAGCTAGAACCTACAAACCATTTTCCACTCCGGCATAGTCCAGCCTAGACCTTGGCCTGCCCACTTCCTATTCCACCTAAATCCTCTTTAACCCAGGCCCTATTCCGCCACAGCACATGACTTGACCCCCTCAAGAACATGAGCGACCCCCACCACACAAAAATAGGGCCTGTGCAATACCATCCTGAAAACCCAAATTAAGTAAATCCGATCCCACGTCAGATAGATGAACCCCATCCTTCCTAAAATACCCGGGCAGCATACATTCCAACTCCTTGTGACGCACAACTACGCCACCCATCCGCCTCACGAAAACCGCCATGGTCTTATTGACCTTACCCCTACTTCGCGCTATCGAAGCCGAATCCCTGGCGTGTCTCCAATTAAAGCGGGCACCATCTCGGACCAGACCACTACCACGCCAGGAACCAGCTTACGTAGCCGATCCAGATCCCTCTTCATCCTCCTCAACAGTTCCCGCTGCGGGATCAAGCCTAAATCGTTCCCCCCACCATGAACCAGAATTACGTTAGGGACTGACCCCCATGCCAGTCTATTGAACAGTTCCTTACTGATGCTCTGCCAACCGAAACCCCGGAAACCCAACCAAGTGAGACCCACCGCCTCCACCGGGAAGCCCAGTTGTGCTCCGTCTCTTCTCATCGCGGCCCTCCTCCGCGCCCAATAAACGTAGGAATGTCCGATCAGCCATACCAAACGACCTAAAAGAAATAGAACAGTGAACAGCAGAGCCCTTAACAAACAACGCCCCAGTCCCCTTTTACACCAACTTGTCCGGTCTAACGTATGAGCGGAACCGAATGGACTCCCATCTTCCTATCTGTTTGATCCGCTCATCTCCCAGACCTAACCGAGCCGCCTCCGTTGCGGCCCCAATTCTAAACGAATGTGTCCCGAAATGCATGGGTTCCAGGCCCAGCTTACCCAATCCTGCACGAAATATCTTAACGAACTGAAAACGGGACAAAGCCTTACCGTCAGCATGGATGAAGAAACAGCCTTCCTTCTCGGGGCGGACTTCCAAGAATTCGGCGCCAAAGCCACTGGGCAAACCCTAGACCCTGGCAATTTGAACAATGTTACCAAGCTTCCTTTGCCGAATATGTCCGTCTTTGAGCGGCACAACTTGACCTGTACCTTATCTTCACCAATGGTCACATCCCCCAACCGAATCCCACCAACCCCTGCTTTGTTGGTGCTAAGCAGCTCCCCAATACGGAATGCCCTGAAGAATGCCCAGACAAACGCCCCGGAAAACAACACAACTTCATATTTGGAATAACATAATGCCGGTAGAACCTCCACTAGTCCTTGCAGCACCGCGAATGACACTGGCCTCCTGGTATCCACCGATTTCTTACCCCTCCGAAAACCTCTTATGGCTTGCCTGACCAAAAAATGTTTCGTTATATCCTCCCATCCATTAAACTTAAATAGGAAGGCCAACGCCGACATGTGCCTGTCAACCATAGATGGTGAAGCCTTCCTGGAAAATAGTCGACACAGTACCCATAACAGTATATCTAACCGATGTTCCTCTGAACAGTCCCCTCCCACTTGTGCCACCGACTCTTCCCATTCGTGCCAAACCTTCACATATGCCGCCCAGGTGCCCGGTGCCAGGGAATTCTTTATGAACTCCCCAAGCATGATGTCCCGAGCTGCCACATTTCTGCCGGACATGCCAATCCTTCCTCTTGTGCCTCCGGCGCTGCTTCCCGAAAACGTTCCCACTGTGAACGAGAAAGCGCGTCAGCCACTATATTCAAGAAACCTGGAACATGCCTTGCCCTGAACACTATATTGCTAGACATACATAAAAGTACCAAGTGCCTTAATAACCGTATCACTGCAGGAGATGATGCCGACAACCCATTGATAGCCTGGACCACTGCCATGTTATCTGAGTAAAATACTACTTTTTTGTTTGCGAGCTGCTTTCCCCATAACGCCACCGCTACTACCACCGGGAAAAATTCTAGGAACGCGAGGTTCCTTATCAGCGAGCTCGTCTTCCACTCCGCCGGCCACTCCTCGGCGCACCATTGCCCCGCTAAATAAGCCCCAAACCCCACGCTCCCGGAGGCGTCTGTAAACAAGCCTATGTCCTTGGAGGAAACTCCCGGCTCCCGAAAAAACACTATACCGTTAAATTCCCTTAGAAACCTTTTCCAAACCCCCAGGTCCGCTCTCATATCCGCCAAAACTTTCACGTAATGATTCGGAAACCGCACACCGCTCGTCGCCTGGGCCAGCCGTCGACAAAAAACTCTGCCCATCGGAATCACCCTGCATGCAAAATTAAGACTCCCCAATAGCGACTGCAGCCCTCGCAAAGTCACTTTTCTCGCATGCCACGCTGTGTCCACTAGCTGACAAAGCTTAAGTAGCTTGTCCGCGGGCAGTCTGCATTCACCTTTTACAGAGTCAATCTCCAGGCCGAGGAAACTAAGGCATGAGGTGGGGCCAACCGTCTTATCCCCTGCCAAAGGAACCCCAAAAGAGTGTGCTATCCATTGAAACACCCTCAATATCTGGCCACACCGCTCAGATCCTTCCGGCCCTACACACAAGAAATCATCGAGGTAATGCACGATTGATCCCCCAGCCGACTCCCGTCGTACCACCCATTCCAAAAAGGTGCTAAACTTTTCAAAATAGGAACACGAGATGGAACAGCCCATCGGTAAACACAGGTCTATGAAGAAACCCCCTTCGAAGAAGCACCCCAAAAGGTGGTGACAACCCGGATGAATGGGGAGCAGCCGAAATGCTGCTTCCACGTCCACCTTTGCCATCAGTGCACCGTGTCCCGCTCTCCGAACCAACTCGACCGCATGATCGAATGATGCATAGGATACGGAACACAGCGCCGCGTCGATATCATCATTTACCGATGACCCCCGTGGGTGCGATAAGTGATGTATCAGGCGAAATTTCCCTTCCTCCTTTTTAGGGACCACCCCCAGCGGAGACACCCTTAAATCTTCTATCGGCGGGGACGGAAACGGCCCCGCCATCCTCCCCATCTGGACTTCCTTCATTAATTTTTCCCGCACTACCCCCGGGTGGTCCCGGACTGATTTAAGGTTTGCACACATGGTTCCCGGACCTTTGACCTTGAATGGGATAACAAAACCCTCTGTAAACCCCCGCCATAAGAACCTCGCCTCTTCCTGATTACCGTACTGCCTTAACCACGGCAGCATCGCGCCGACCTTCACCGGCGACGTTCCCAGTCGCCACTGCCGTGGCTGTTGTCCCTGCTGCACCCCCGAAGTTAGATTTTCCTTTCTTAAAACACCTGTTGACTCCATGATTTCCCCCGCATCCGGAACATTCATGTTTAAATCTACACGATGCCCCCCATTTGCACTGCCCTTCATTGAACAGCCAACAGAACCCCTTCTTCTGTCCGGCCGGTACAGCGCTTCCCGTGGCCGTACCGGCCGTCCCTTGAAAGGGCGCATTTTTCTGGGCCATCATTATTCTCATCCATAAAGGCAGGTCCATCTGATCCCACCTCATACTCGGATTCGCTGCCAACCGTTGGCGGAATTGTTCGTCGTACCGCCACCATGCTAATCCCCCATAAGTCCTGTAAGCGTCCCCTATCCCGTCCAAATAACAAAACAGCTGCGAACATCGTTCTGGGTGCTTTTCCCCGACTACGCTCGCCAAAATACAGAAGGCTCTGAGCCAATTCCCAAAAGTCTTGGGTATCTTCCGATACCGCCGCTTTTTCTCCTCTTCTTCTTTTTTAGCGTCCTTCTTATCCTCTTCCTTCAAGTCGAGAAATTCCTCGAGTGGAAGTAAGGAGAAGATTTCCATGAATTCCCCCTTCCCAATTTTTTCTTTTACCTCCGCTTTCAGGTGACATCCTAGTGGTCCCGCGAAGGACACATGCACGTTTTGCCGTGCCACGTCCGCTATCTCACCACCCCCGACCACCTGTTGGCCAGACCCGACTGCCTTTCCGGTTCCCGACTCACCGTCCCCCGTTTCGACGGCACCCGACTTGTGTGTCACCATCCTCTCCGCCCCTTGTTCTTTATCTCCCCCGTCCTCTGGCGACCATACCCTACCAAACTGCGGGGTTGACCCCTCATCTCCCGCCCAGGAGTTAATGAAAGATTTTAAGCAACCCAATAAGGACCCAGTGTGTGGTGTACTTCGTGACTCACCGCCAGTGCCCCCGACCGTGGCCGGCCGCAGGGTTGCTGTCCTTCCGTCCGCCATTTCAGGCTCCGGAGACTCCTGTTGCCGCCGACTCCTTTCCGCCTGGCCTCTCCTCGGGACCGTAGGTGTCACGCTCCTCGACCTGCCAGGAAAATATAACCTGGGTAGTCTGTCCACGTGTTGTCCTACCCGCCTTTCCTCCCGGCGTTCCTTCCTCCTGTCACTATCGCTACGCTGTCTCGCTGTCTGACCGTCCCGGCCGTAAGACCTCCTCTGCTGGTCCTTTAAACTCCCGCCCGATGAACTGGAAGCACTGCGCCTACATCTTAGCCTCGGTTCCCTGGTGCATGACCTCTGCCTGCTCCGGTGGCTCCTGGACTGGCTCCTGTCCCTGCTCCTCCCCTGCTCTGCTGACCTCCTCTGGGTGCTGCTCCTGTCCCCTTCACTGCGCCGCTCGCTACTCACTCCTCGCCTCCTGGCCCAGCTCCTGTCCTGCTGCGCCTGAGAGCGGCCCATAGGGGGCTCCCGCTCGCCTCTGACCCCTCTGCATGTCTCCTTCCTCCTCAGCCCCTGCGGCTCCTCCATGTCCCTGCAACCTCCTGTCGCTGACCTGCCGTCTCCTCTCCTCTCATCCCGGCAACTTCCTGAGGGCAGGGATTCACCCCCCCTCGCAATTCCCGTCTGCCCGGAGACGCTGCTGCCCCTGTCACCGCTACCTGTCCTGGACCTATTCCCTGTGAGGGTTAAGCCCGTCCCTGACCTGCCATCTGCCTCTCCACCTGTCACCTGAGGGGGCGCTGGCGTCGAGCTGTCCTCAAGCACCCCATCCTCCTGCCCCTCAGTATCGCCACTAGGGGCGGACTCACCGGGGCGCTGAAGTTCCGGACCATCACGGCCCTGCTGCCTGGCTGCCATCCCAGCTGTACAGGATCCAGCCGTGTCCTTCTGCCTCCCGCCCGCAGACTTGCGGCGGGGCCTTCTCCCACCAGCGGGCTTCCGACTAGCGCCCGCCCGGCGCACTCCGACTCTTGAGGCCCGTCCTTCCGCCTGGGCCGCCTTTTCCCCACTTTGCGGCGCTGGACTCCTCCTCCTCCTCGCCGCTGGCGGTGCTCCCGGGCTGAGTCGTTGGGGCGGACGTGCCCTCCTGGTCGGCCTCCTCTCCGACACCGCAGTGGGGGGAGCAGACGTGCTCGGGACCCCAGTTGATCCTGCAGCCACGCCATCCCCTTCTCTTCCACCATTCTTCTCACACCAGCCAAGATTTCTTCGGCAGAAGCCATCCCTGCAAGAAAAAGAACAGACCACACAAACCTGACAAGTATCAAGTAAGTGTGATTTTGATT